CCATCTTAGTATTGTAGTCCTCTAAATCCTTCTCCATGGAGGCAACCAATCCGGTATTCCTATTAGCCACCTGTGTTCTGGTATTCTTTGAAATGAAGCGTACTATTGTTTTCCAGTTTCCTTCTAATTAAGGACGCTAGTGCTATTCATTGCCTTATTTCTGCAGTTTTTATTTTGTAAGCTTTTGTGGCTTGTTGGTTTCTTATCATATAATCCTACTCAACCGTACTTATTTTGTTTCTTATTGCTGTTGTCGTTGCTATACTTCTGCTCCATATAAGGTGATATTCGGTTTTATCATTTGCAAGATTTTTTTTGTTTTCTTTAGTCAGAACGTTATTCCATAGCCGTCCGTGGAGGACCTTCGTGGCTTATTTTTCTCATACTTCTTTTGTCATTATATCTCTCGATGTATTGTCGATTCTAAATACTTCTGCTATTCGTTGTTCAATAAGTATTCAGTTTTGCCTATATGTATTTTAAGGTTCCCACCATTCGTATTTCTTATCATATACCCCATTTCTTCTTTTTCTTGTGGATGTCCTGCCACATACTACCTTTGCCTATTCTACCCTTGTTTTAGCCTTCTTGTTATGACTAATGGTTCCGTTAATTCATTGGCTATTTTTATTTGTGCTTTTGTCTTATATTTATTAAGCTTTTTATGGTTGCTTCCTGGGCACACTGTCATTTGCTTTTTCTAACTCTATAAATGTCATGTGTTTTTCGATGTTCTTGGCTTTGTTCTTTTCAATGACCTGAATGAGTTCTAACTAGTTTTCGTTAAAATCGATATGTTTTATTTTTTCTTTATTATTGTGGTGAAAAGCCTTCAATTGAGGAAGTGACGCTAATTCCTCTATAATTCTTAGTTGATTTCTTGTTTCCTTTTCTGTATATGGATGATATATATGACGAATTCCATTCCCCTGTTTCGATCTTATCAAACACTTGAATCCCATATTTCAACAATTCCATTGCCGTCTATAGATCTTGTTGAACCTATTCTAGTCGATGTTCTTATTGTTTTGTTAGATAGCCACTTCGCTTTCCTTCTTTATCATCAGCTATTCTTGTTTTGTTCAACACCAAGTGATTCTCTAGCGACTTGCGTTATTACTTGTTTCAATTTACATTTCGTTTATAGACTTCCAAAAAAGGTCTAGGAAACAAAACCCTACTACTTCGTTCTTAGAACTTGGCAACAAACAAAAAAATAGACGAAATGTAACTATGGCAGTCTGGTTTGTGCGATAAGAAAGCTGATATTTTGTCTTCATTTGGTGGCTTGGCGCTGATTCATCTGTTAAAGAGGCAGTCAATTAGGTATGCTGAGACTGAAGTCACTAATTCAAAGTTACCTAACTCTCGAGCAAATGCGGACGTTACGGAAACTCTGTGGAAGATATAGTCGATCGTAAGTTCTGCCACCGAAATGGACAAGAATGCGCTGAAGATATGAATAAAAACTGATAAAATGCCACGGCCTTGTATTAGCAACAATTTTTTGAAGATGAGAAATAATGTTAAAAGTATTGTATTGTTGTTGTTCAACATAACTAATTTACTGTTGAACAAAAAAACTACCCTAACTGCTTATCCATATTTGCAATGATTTCTTATTAGTGGTAGTTTGTAAACCTTCATCTACTGCTATCGGCTAAATATATTCACCGAGTCCCCAAAATAATTCGCAATTTTCGTTTTACTTTAATTTCAAATATATTAAGTTTATTTAAATATAAATGACTTCTCACAATATGCAGGTCACCTATCTGTGTAAAGAGTAATCTGTCATCTCCGGTAAAAATAAATAAAATTAAAAGCCCAGAATATTACATTAGTCACAAAATATAAACTTAATAGTAGTGATGAATCATTAACTATGGTCGATATCTCGCCTGGAAATCCAAAGAAATATATTTGCGGTTTTTGTGGTACTGTTTAGGAATCCACACATCGGTTCACTTAAAGTGGATACCCTATCTAAAATTTTGTCACCAATTCAAGACGATTTAAATTAAATGCCAGAAATAAACATTTACAAAGCAGGTAGGCGGATGTAATTAGACGTTTATTTACACGAGCGAATAATTGGAAATCTTATTATGTTACCAGTTTTTTTTTTCTCGAAACGATGCGACACAAACAGGATGTCTGGATGGACGAAATTGCTCTAAGAAGAAGCAATTATCGAATTATGAGAAGTTAACCATGCGTCATGATCCGGTTTGCTAGTGAATTCAGTTTCGGTATTATCGGCCAAAATAATTTTGCGATTTTTTGAAATAATTGACTATTGAATATAGAGATTGACTTTAGATTGCTAATTAGAATTACATTGTTGCCTAACGAAACATATACGGGACTAAGCTTTCTTCAGAACAAATAATAATAAATAAATAAATAAAATCGCTATTTCAGACTCAGTAGGCTTATTTAGACACTTGACATAAAATATAAAGAGAATACAGATATATGTACGTAAATAAATAAACGAATAAAAAACAAAAATTTATTTTTCTGTAAATAATAATAGTATAACGTCCATTTAGACTTAGTTAATAGTAGGGCATCAAAATTGCAACAATTGTAACAAAGGAGATGAAAACGATTAAAACAGATCAAACGCTACTTCACGACTTATTAAAATGGGAAGAAAATTTTTAAGAGTAGCATGGTCATTTCATGAAAAGTACTAATAATATTAATAATTATTATATTAGGCATAAGCAGTAATAAATATGCTATGTGTTACATAGACCGATTTTCTATGGTGGCGGAGAAATTCCATTTATCGATAATGGCAAGTGATGCTTCTAGAAGGGGGCTTGGATTTCAAATAAAAGTTTCGTTATACAGGGCGATTAATTAATAGAAGGCCCCTAAGTCTCTAAGCGTGAAATAAGAAAGAAAGTTCATATAGAAGTGGATTGAAAAACGCTTTCCTACACAGGGAGTCAAAGATTTTTTTTTATTTACCAACCACAATTTTTAAAATAATTAGTTGATAATAATTTTGATTCATAAAACTCTTGGACGTGATAAACAAGCAAATTACTGTCCGGTAAATAGGATCTTATTTCGACGCAAGGCATACATTCATGGGCAATTGAGAGAAAAAGAACAGAGATCCATGTTTCTAAATTGAGGAGTCCATGTCATGCCTCGCCACCAAAAACCAAAAAAATGTACCACCCTGTAGATGCTCATATTTCATCTAATTATTTTAAAATTTGTGTAATATAATTTTTTTTTAAATATTTGACGTCCTGTACCTAAGATATATTGCGTTTGAACCTAGGATATAAAGTATAACTGTCAATCAAGAGAAGTTTTTACTTATTAATCATAGAGGTAAGTGCTTATGGATGGGGATATATTCCAAAAAATACATGCCAAGACAATCTGTCAACAATATCGCTTTCGAAAGGTTAACTGATGTGAAATTTCCACTAAAAAAAGAAAAAAGATTTTTTTTCTACTAAAATTAAATGGCAACAACTTATAATCAATATATAACACCTACTGCCCTTTATGTGCCCTTGCTCTTTAAAAAATTATATGTGTTAATTTTCAACAAGTTCAGAAATTAAAAAAATAACATCAATAATGAGATTTTTTATATCTGCATCACAGTTTTTTTCATTGAAAAATTTTAAACTCAGAACTGGCTTAGTTTAAATTAAACACAGGGTAGTTCATATTTGAATTTGTGAGAAAATGTCATGCTTGGTTCCTTCATTGGTCCCTATACTTAATCTCAATAGATTGCATGTAGATGATAACACTTCGAACCATTTTTAAATGGTGATAATCGGTAAATGGAAATGCAACAACAGCTTATGGAAATGATATTAAAAGCTTACAGGGTGAGCTGACTTTACCAACCAATTATATTATTTTCCAAGCTGCAAAATTTTTTTTTTAGATACGATACCTTCTAGATTTTTTATCTAGAATAGTAATAGTAGTAAGCCACCCTGTATACAAATTTATATTTCTCAGACCTATTTTAGAAAGTAACAAATTAGTAAACACGTTACAAGAAAATCAAGATAAAAAAAACCGCCAAACACAATCAAAATTAATGAAAAGTTGCGAAACTATTCAAAAACTATTAAAAGCTCCAAAAACGTGTATATATTAAATATATTAAATGTTATAGATGTGTTGCCACATAAAAATAATAACTGTGGATAATTTAAAAAAACATTAATTAGTAGTTCACCTAGACGCATTATCTGTTAACTATCTGTTAAATATCCATAAGATTAATTAATACACGAGTTGTACCAGACAATAGCTAATTAAATTTAGACGTCGGGTGTCTTAAACATTCGACAATTGTTTATTCATCTTCTCATCAACGGGTGATATTTGTTTTTCATTTACTTCGAATGCATTTATCTTTTTTTTCTTTGAAAATGAACAGTTTTTTGCGGTTGAATCTTTTTTTACAAGAGTTTGCGACATCTGCTTCCGGTGTCCCATGAGCTTTAGTATGCAATTCGTTGCTATAATATCGTCGGTTCGACCACGAAGTATACAAAGGCGTGATAAAAATTCGATAAAATTTTCGACATTCTAACCAATGCGGGACAGCCACGAATAAAATTCACTAAAATAGGCACATTTTACGACCAAACAAAAACCTATAATTTTGCAACGGAGCGTTGCTTCATGGTGCAATTGGTCAATTGTCACAAACTGCTGTTCATACGCGTTACAAAATATTTTAAACGGGGTTAGGTGCAATAATAGTTCGGCAATGACATTGTTAAAGACATTTGTGGTTGATAGAAACCGTCGAAAATATCAACGCTTCTGTATGCTATTTTTTATACATTAAAACCGGCTTAGTTGACCGATGCGGAAGTTTTTTGCTAACAATTAATTTCTTTTTATTAAATCGAATTGTCTCAATAAGCACCAAGAAGATCCTGAAGTTAGTTTTAAATTTAAAAAATTCCGGAATAGACCAAATTTGAAACACCTACCTTAAACTGTGACCAAATTTCATAATAGTATTTCAATAGTGTCCAAAAAAAAACGACGATTTCTTTGCACAAATTTTAAGGAAATCAACATACGGACAGACACAGAACAGAACCAACCCGGATGTTATCCGAACGCACTCGTAGTCCGACACCGTTTGAATAACCCACGAGGAGTCCTACCAGCGATCCCAGGTTTATAGTACCTACTGGTACCGGCAGACCAATGCGTTGCCTCGTCGAACGAAGAAGTAGATTAGCGGAGAAAGTGGTACGCCGTTGCGTTGGATCTTCCTTTGGGCAAAGTCGTACCCTCGCAATTGAACGGCGCAGGTACGTACTAGGTGCGATTCCTCTAAATGTTTACCTTTTATCTTAATCCTTGACGGATATTCATTTATTTTTATTTCTAGTTAGTTGTACTGTAACAAACGATAAATGAAATTCTTTTGCTATAGGAAAATATTACTTCCTAAAATGACTACTATCCCAGCATGCAAGAAGCACTTGAAGACGGCGTGATTATATTAGTTACATTGGATATTTTTGTTAGTAGTAATTCTAATGGTCAATTTCAACAATACATTTATAACAAAATTAAAAAAAACTGCCTCGTATATAAAATAATTGAAAGCGTCAAGCATCTAGTACCTACTAGGATGTCCTATGCTAATGTTCCCTTAATTCACAAACATTTACCAAATTTATCTTCTATCTTATCTTAAACATGTCAAAATACCATGGTCAGAAAGTGATACATTAAGCTTCGTTGCCAACGGTTACGAACTATTTCCAAGATTTCCGGTACTTTGGTCACGGGTGTATATAGTATACAACACGTTGATAAACTTCTTCAAACACTCGTTCATTGAGCACTCGCAGGACTCCAGCCAACTCGTGGCTAAAATGGCGTTTCTCCAACTTGTGGCATAATATACTCTCATTTTATTTGAAAAAGGTTTTAATAGATAATATATTTAAAATGGAATACCCTATATATTTTTGCGATATCTCCAAGCCATGACAATTAGGGTGTTCTTAAATTTTGATGCGCCTTTGCCAAATAGAAATAAAAGAAAATATTTCTAAAAGGATGTTTTCCAACCATTTTTTATGTTTCAATCTGACACCTTCATAATAATAAAAATATACTCGAACAATGCTGAGAACTTAGTAAAGCGCCTAAGTAATTATTTCATACAGGAAGTTACTTAAACTCTTGTTTTTATTTTTTTATTTGCCAAAAATGATGTTTGACTTTCGATACTAGAAAGTACAAATTAAAACATTTTTTCAAATGTGATGTTATTAACGAGTTTTTCTATTGCCTGCTGTTTTTATGTTACAATACGTTTATTCATAAAAAAATGCAACCCTAAACAATAGTACCACTAGCTACTAAGAAAAATGATAGACTGATTGATATAATGAAGCTGACGTATAAAATCTATTTTCGACAAACGTTGTTATTACAATAAAGCGGAGCTACTGATTTTCCACATGGAACCAAAGAGACAGACCAACACATGATACATTTGTCACTGGTGCGAGCAGCAGCAAAAATATAGACAATTTAATTTTGTTTAATATTGTCATATGGATATGGGATTAATTTATTAAATTCTAATTATTTCAATGTGAGTTTTTAATGTGTTACTTGGTATGGTATAATCACATATTTAACTGAGCCCACGAACAAACTATTTTGATATAGTTTATGTGCAACCCTCTTCTATATTTTTATCTAGTAAATATTGTTATAGATAAGATTCTGAGATGTAAAAGGTGAAAATAAATATTATATATATAATAAATAAATATTATTATTATTTATGTAATGCAACTCTCATAGGTAAAATTTTATTATCTACGTACTCTCTACTTACACGTTCTTTCTTAACTTCATTTTTCATCCACAGTTAACCCTCTGTATTATTAATTTATCTTAAAATTGTGTATTTGTCTGTTTTTTTGTCTAGTTATTTTATAAATATTAATTTTTAATTTATTGCTATTTAACCAATCCACATTCTGCTGACGTCACTGTTATCCTCTCTCTGTTTAATAGGAAGAAGTAAATAAACTTGTGGGAAGAAATAAGCAATTTTCATTAAAATTAGAATTTTAAAAATCACTTTATATATCCAATATTTTGATATCTCGTGTTAAGCATTTTGCAAAACAGCCGCATACTTTCCCTTAGTACATATGCTCGAAATATAAGAATTTAAAATTACTGAAATAAGATAAGTTGCTTAATCAGTTATCGAACACAAAACACACTCATTAGCTTTTGTTTTGGTAAGGCTTTTCACGTTATCTTACAAGGTATGTATTTATTTTTATTCCGTGTTCATATACTTATACTTATTAAAAGTCTTAGATTTTCATACTTCAAACTAGATGCAGTATCGAAACAATCTGTGGATTCCAAATTTGAAATAAACACCCGGCACAACTAAAAAATATTTCCAAATTATTTTCGAGCATATGAGAATCTGTTGTGTTACAAATACACTTCAATAATAATCACTACCCAACTATAGCTTTTTACAAGTCGTTATAGCCATATGTCAAAGGAAACAAGCGAAATGAAAAATGACATTGCCATACATAGCAACGCGGCAATATTGCCATATCTTTTATACACTAGAGGATTGATTACTTTTGTCGATATACACACACACACAATATATATATATATATATATATATATATATATATATATATATATATATATATATATATATATATATATATATATATATATATATATATATATATATATATATATATATATATATATATATATATATATGATGACACTATATTCCGGGATATCGTCCGTTCGCTTGTTGAACTCCGACTGGAACCCTGCAGACGTTTCGTTTCGCCAAAATCTCACTTGGCATCTTCACTCATCTACACTCATTGTTGAGTCTTCGAAGTGTTTGTGAAGATGCCAAGTGAGATTTTGGTGAAACGTCTGCAGGGTTCCAGTCGGAGTTCAACAAGCGAACGGATGATATCGCGGAATATAGTGTCATCACATTTTTCCATCCGTGAATCAATACGTCAATATATATTTATATATATTGTTTATATTTTGTTTTTTCTTAGACCTTCTATATATTTATGTTTAGCTTTTGGTTCTTGGGTTATAGATCTTTATATTAAAAGCGATTAAAATTTTTGTCCATATATTAACGTTTCGGTCTTCTATGACCTTCTTCAGAAAGGGATACAGTCTATATATATATATATATATATATATATATATATATATATATATATATATATATATATATATATATATATATATATATATATATATATATATATATATATATATATATATATATATATATATATATATATATATATATATATATATATATATATATATATATATATATATAAGCACTGCCCCAAGAAGTTATCAATGAATGGAAAGATTTGTTTGTTTAGATATTTTTAGAAACAAGCGTAATTTGCAAGGTTTTTGCATTGCAATATATAAATTAATGACACTTCCATTTAATTCAGTTACTCCAAAATGTTTAGGGCTACCTAGTTGCTTACCAGAAACTGCAACTTTCACTTCTACTTCGAATCCCTTCACGATCATCCCATTTAAATAAAAAAAATAATTCCCGATTATTTCCGAGTTACATTATTTACCTACTTTAGACTTCACACTTTCTATTTTCCAATTTGTTTCAACGCAACAAGTTAAAAATTTTTATTAAAGGCGTCACGTATTTGTAAAAGCTTCGCTTTACAAAATTACGGACTGTGATTAGAATTGCGTTGAATACTAGTTGCTCATTTAACATCGCTCATCATCGAAAGAAATCGACAACTTATTTAAATCGGTTGTACTAAAATTGTATTAAACAATCATTCTTTCGACATGTAGAAGTCAATAATTAATTAAAAAGTTAACATTTGAAATATCGAGTGCGGAGTTACAAGAGAGCCCGTGCTTGGGCGTCTGTTATACTTTTTCTTAAATATTTAAATCTCGGAGTCCAATATTTGATATTTTCGGATACACTAGGCTATGCTATTATATACTGGGGCAAATGAAAAAATTCTCTCTCAATCACGATACCCAAGAATCGTAATTCTAATAGGATTGCCTAATCCGCCCAATCTGTCCGCTAGTGCAATGCGAAAACTCTCGCTGGCGCATTCCTATGCATTTACATAGTAGTATTTTGAGTAGCTAATATAGCATTTTGTTTGGATAATCACTCGTTATTTTCATTTAATGTCAACATCAAATCGTTTTAGTACTTATTTAATAATTAATGGGAAGTAGCGTAGGGTAGGGTCTCAGGTAGGGTAAAAATAATACTAATGCAATCAAGTTTGGCTTATATGTATTATCTTCAAATACATGTATTAATTAAATATTGTTGCACATAACTACATAAAACTCGCGAACAAAACGATTTACTTGTAAAACTTTTAGGTTTACGGCATTCTACCATTTTAAATATACAAAAATCAACAAATACAACAAATTGTGGCATTCGATGTTGTTGCTAAAAGCTCAGACAATACCTGCTGAGCTTCTTTTTTGGCATTTTTGGAATGAAATCTTTTTGATCTAGATAATCCTGCTTCTGTTGGTGGCTTCTGGTTAAATAATAATAGGATGGGAACAGCAGTTTTTTTAGAATCTTTTTTAAAGGTAAACCTAACATTTAAATTTCGTGGTGAATTTAATATATTACTCAAGACAAAAAAAACCTAATAACTCATTTTGTAAGTCTCTTTCGCAATCATTTTCAGTAAAATGAACTGAGCTGATATAGCTTTTATCTGGATTAAGTTTGTCCTCTCTTCGATATAGAACTATCCACTCGTTCCGAATAGTTCGGGATACTCCATCTTTCCCTTTGGGAAAGCGATGAAAACTACATTTTCGAGAACTTGCTTTTTCATCAAAATAGTTGTTAATGCACCCATACATGGCACATCTCGTTCCAGGCATACCTAACTATTTCTTGATGTAACTTATCCCACTGAAAAAGGTAAAAGAAATGTATTTCTTACCTTTACCTATATTATTATGAGTAATATTTTGAGCTTACCTCCTAACTAATAACACCGCTAATCAGCAGCACGAACACAAAGCTTTTAAGTCTTTGTTTAAGGTTAAAAATACTTCTTTTCTCAGTTATCCCCACTCAAACACACATAATTTTAAAGTATTTGTTAAAACTTAAAAAGCAGTGTTTCGTCCAAGTTTTTTTTTTCTTACAGAAATACAATTAACATAAAGATAAGCGCACTACTCACTTGTTTAAGTTTATACAAAAACCGTTAGAGGACTTCGCTTACGTCACAAGCGACCACGTGCGATCGATAATTTTGTCTTATGAGATTGGGCAATCCTAATTAATTCTTGCAAGATACCTATCTCAATTAGCTGTACTCTGTCACTCTGTCAAATTAAAAACAAAGATAAAACTAAATATATGGCATTCAAGCAAAAAATAAAATTTTATCAAGATCAAATGGGTTTAATAGTGGACGATATCTTAAACTGGTATGAACATGTAACCGATATTTCAGAAAAAATATTACCTGTGGTTCTCGTAATGTGGAAATTCCGCAATTGCCCACAGCAAAAAAGTAAACGATATGTATGCAGCTATTCTTTTATAAAATACAATAAATAAATGAAATCTGAACACGGAAAATTAATAAACAAAGTAGTAAAATTAATCGAAAACGCAATACCAATATTGCATTTAGGAGTAAGATACATGAATACCACACACTAGCTGAAAATAATAAATATAAACAGCAAAGTTTATAAGTTGTCCACAAACCTAACATAAAATAATATTTTTTAAAAATCTGAACCCGTATGTAGATGTAAGTTGGAATAAGTATTAAAGACCGTGTCAAAAGCCGCGTGAAGATCAAAATTATTTAAGCTAAGACACCATTTTTGATTACGTCACTATACGTGACTTAACGGCATAACTGCTCTAACTGGACTGAACATGTAGTTTAAAAAAAAGATGGAGAAAAATCTGGGGAACTTAATTAATTAACAAGTCCTAGTAGAAGCAATTACACTTAGTTCCATTGCGGTCGTCTGTTCAATTTAATTACATATTTGCCTTGATCTTTTAAAACCGTATTCAAGCGAGGCTTCGAGTATTCGCTTCAAAATGCATTTGTACAAATGTAATAACAATTTTATAAAATGTTCCAAAATGATATGGGTCATTTAATTAAGGCAGCGAATGACACCATGAGTTATTTCATTTACCTTAACGATGTATTTATTTAAAATATTCCAACATCTAATAATAAACAATTATTTCTGCATGCAAATAATCTGCAACGAGTTATATGCACTTTTCACAAACATATAGCAATAATGTTCAGTTTCGTAAGCATTCGAAATAAGTTTTTTTAAATTCCTGTTTATCTCGTTACAAGATGATGCTTTAAAGATATCGTGGTTTAATGGCCTGTATGGCACCCACGCCTAGGTAAATATATATCGTTATGATTTGAAACGATAAAAGAAAACAACCTCAAGTGTTTTCAACTTCGTTTGTTACGTAACCGCTTCACGCAACATAAACGTGATTATCAAACTTTCTGAGAAAAGCGTTCCCATTGAAGTTGAAGAGGAATATTTGCGAACAAAATATCGATGAGATTCAGTGCACAGCGATAAGCAAATAAATTTTCGCAAAATAAAAATATTTGTTAAATATTTTCAGTTAGAACACTTACTTAAAATCACGCCACTACTTTGAACAACTAGATTTTTTGAGTCTTGTGATCTCAATGAAATCTGTGGCACTACAGTTCTGACCATTAGTTATAACTATTAGATAACATATATGCAGCAAATGTGATAAAATTGATAACCTTGTTTTCCCTGAAACTTGTGTTGATGTCGAAGGCATGCCGAATATCCCTTCTTAACATTAATTATTTCGGTTTTAAAATTGCCAGTATTATCAGACAATATACATATAATATGTTAAGTTCTAATGAGTTAAGCATGGGGAGCCCATTATTTTGGAAATAAAATGGTGCATTGTACGGTAACATACGGAGGCATAAAAACTCGTATCAAAAATATTTATCAAATTTTTATTTAACTGCAGTGCGTATTATCTACAAGTTCTTGAGGACATTGGATCTGCTGAAACTGGACTTGAGGATTATCTGCGTTTTCGAAGAATCCAAATCTGAACTGGCAGCCGGGCTGCAGTTCTTTTGGTAGCTCGGAACATTCTTCTAAGCTGCTTACTCCGCCATATTGATTTCCCCAACCGCTCCATGACGTGTTCCACTGGCTCACGCAACCCTGGGTGAATATGCCTACACCTCCACCTGGAAGAGCGATGTCAAACTGGTTCTGACCCAAATCGCCACCGGTGTTGGTAACTTGGAGCACCATTTGCTTTCCCTGAAGTTGTCCCTGCAGAAAACGATGCATATTTTTATTTACATATTTTGAAAAAATATTGTAACAAATTTTAGAAGAAACCAAATTTTAAAAATATATTTTTAACATAATATCATCATGGGTTCCTGTTTAAAACATTAGGTACCTATCTAGATAACCGTCTTCAGATCTTCAGCAATCATTACTTTATTTTTGGATATCTGAGAAAATGTCATCGATCCGTCAGTCAATATGCACATACCAGATGCAGAGTGTCGTATTTGAGAAAAAAAGGTTTGCAGCTTTTTTAACCACAATTCAATCCTCAATATCATGTTCGCAAGTAACATTCTTGTGTGTTCAGAAAATAATATCGGAACTAAAGTACAATTTTTACAGAAATACAGAAACGATTTAATATATCTACTTAAAATATTAATTGTGATCTATTAAGTAAATTTCGTTCATTTTTGAAGTACTAATTACAAACTAATAAGTAATAAAAAATTGCATTCCTTTCAGAGGAAGTTTTAATTAACCCGATATTTGTTGCTATGTTTCACCAACCTTTAAACTGGTTGCTGTTTAAAAATAAAGCAAGCTCTTCAAGGTACCTGGAAAGTAAGCAGGAAACAGGAACAGCAGAAGTTTACATCAGCTCCGCCTGTGAAAGATGCAGCTGCAAACCCATAAGCCAACGTGTCACTGACGGCATAAGGTTGTTGTTTGTTGCACATGAATGCCGTTCCTCCAATACAGCTCGATTGTATGGCCGGACTGATGACCGTTTCACCGTCAGCTGAACATGTGTCTACCGCAGTTTTTATGCTAGCCGGGAGATTTTCCACCCATGCACACGACGGCTTGCAGCAATCCCAATATCGGGTGGTGGTTCCGGAACCGCTCAGGCCTCCCGGAATTGGAGTAAAATCGCCATCAGCGTTCACTTGAAATGAACGGAAATTTTGTATAATTTTTTATATTCCTAACCATAATCACAGGGCAAATTAATTTTTCAAAGAAACTTTCACGTCGGTTGCTTGTAAATGAAACTTGCTAACAAAATTGGAAATAACGCTTTGGTCTCTACAACGTAACAAAAACGTCAGTGTACAGAGTAATCTTACCAGTTTTAGTTTAGTTTTTTAGTTTTAGTATTAGTACAGGGCAATAAGTAAGAACATAAAATCAGAGGCATTTATATCACAAGGAGGAGTGAGACTGGGGGGTAGTTTGAGCTCATTACTATTTATGACTTATAAGGACGTTCTAATTAGAATGGCAAAACAGCGATCAAAACCCCTTTACGTTGGATACCGACAACTTCGAAAGATCTGAAGGAAAATCTAAATAATTGGGATCAGATACTGATACAAAACAGAATGAAAATGAACATAAATAAAACCAAAGTTATAGCAGTGTCAAACGAAAAAGAGAAATTGGAAATTCTTTTGAATTATGTTCGATCAAACAGGAGGATAGGATACAGAATTAAATCATAGAATAGAAAAGGCAAATAAGGTATACCTTATTGAATAAGTATCTCGTAAATACAAAAGAAATTTTTAAGAAAACTAAAAATTAATCTCTAAATAAGGAGAAGAGCAAAATTGGAGCAGTATAGATGAAATACTGGAAGAGAGTGAAAGGCATTACCAGAAGGGGCAAAATTAGAAACGCACATATAAGAGAAGCGCTAAATCCATAGAAGAAATAATAGAAAAGAAGCAACTTGGCTGGTGGGGCCATTTACAGAGAAGTGGGCAGCAAGGTTCAAAGAATTTGGCAGAGTAAAGTGCAGAGAAAAAAGAAGACCCAGAGAAACGTGTCAGAGCACATTGGGAACGATTTTGAAAAAGAAGGGTAGAACATAGGAAAAGCTAAAAATTTGACACTAAATAGAAAAGACTGGTAACTTTTATGAATAGTTAGCTAGATTGGACGTAGAAATGTCGCCCTTACACTTACTGGTAGAAAGGGACTAGATTATATATATTTATTAGTACAGGACAGCAATCAAGTTTAATGAAAATGTTTTTGTTCATAGGCCGAACATTCTGTTCTGCACACCGCTAGTAACTAATGAGTTTGAAGCAAGAAACCTATCTAGTAATATACATGGTCCCCATGATAAGCTGATAACCATTTCACAACTTATAATTTTTTTAGCAAATTATGCTATAAGTTTCATAAACACCACTTTAGGCACGAGTTTGATTTGGAACAAGCCGAGTGCAGTAAAGATAGTGTTTAATATACGTTTGACTGAAGAGTTTCATGAACGTATTGCTAAACAGTACTAACACCTTCCTCGGGTTCCACACGACCATCAGAACTGACAAACATCTAAAACCATCCGTGAATTCATCCGATCGTACCCAAATACGCGACTAAAGTACCTAAAACGCCTGAAGTGACCAGGACCATGGCTTACAGAGTTTTAAAGTGATAGCTCAAACTTGAGAGCAGAAAAACTTCGTAATGAAGTGTTCTTAAACACTATATCAATATTGAAGGAGATGACACATTTCATGACTAGTTTTTTTCGGTGAGAAAATAAGAAACAAAAAAAATAACAATAACGAGAACGCATAGCTAAAAAATATAACGATCGGTAAATAATATTTCATTGATACTAACTAATCACCAATGCTATTAAATAACCACTTATTGGTTCTTTATTTCAATAGAAACTAAATTAAAAATGTTTATTCCCATTGAGTCGCGAGATGTCTGTCCATATTATGACTTCTTGTTGCACATTTTAATAAAAATCTGTGTTTGTTTCTAAAAATTGTGGATACTAAGTTGGAGCATAAGAATACCGAGCAAAATCAACCTGCTTGTTCTTAAAATGAGTGCTAATGGCTGAGATACCTCTTGCTTTTTGAAGACAGTTTCGGATTCAGACTACGAGAAGCAAACTCTGATACCTCAAGACACATGTTATTTTATAATACATATTAATAAGTTGCTTTGTGGTTAAAATTTGTCTTAAATTTCATAAAAGAAAACACAATGGGATGTTTTTGAAGATGAATTGTAACAGCAATTATTCAAATTTAGATTTTGTATTGTAATGGCCAAGAACTTTTGTTATCCACAATTGAGTCCCTCTTTGGCAACTTTAATATTAAGGAAAAGTTCGTTTCTTTCTTGAGGGTTATGAAACCAAATAAATTTTTATTGTTTGTTGAATTAAGTTTTATTTGTAAATGTCAGTATGCAATGAACTTACCTACGGCCACTAAAAGACCAAGTATCACAAACTTCATTTTCTCGGGTGAGTGTTCTATCGATTTCAATGTTTGTTTAATCATTTCGAGATTTTCATCGGCTCTTTTATATATGACGCTTTATCTCGAACGATATATCTTGTAAATAACCCTGTACGCTTCAATTTTAAGTGCATAATTTTCAATTTGCAATAACATAAACACTCATCCCGACGTGAATTATCTAATATACGTATAAATGAATTGAAAAACAACGCCCAACGAATCAAAATTACTATAGAAAAACCGATTTACTTGGTTTTTAGTAACCACTTCACTGTATAGTGGAAAAGTTGTTAACAGCCCTAGCCGTTTTGTTATCAACATTTAAATAAAAAATAAAGATTGATTAAAATTAAATTCCAAAAAACGTTTTTTTCACAAGTTTCCAATGTGTCAGTTATTGAACTTTTATATTGTGGAAAAACTCATCTTTAGCGTACGTGAGAAAAAGATATACACTTTACTCACTTGTACTATCGCTTTCTTAAATCGCTTTGTTGTTCTTTATATCTTGAAAATTTGAAAAAAACACAAACAAAAATTATACGGTTGTATTTAGATTCAATTTATGGACTACAGTTTGAACGGCTCAAAATTTCAGAAGGACATTCGACTTGCTGGAACTGCACTTTGGGATTATCTGCGTTTTGGAAAAAGTCGAATCTGAACTCGCAACCAGCCTGCAGCTCCTGCGGTAACTGAGAGCATTCTGATTTTGAGCCCACTCCGCCATATTGACTTCCCCAACCGTTCGAAGGTGTATTCCACTGACTCTGACAGCCTTGGGTAAAAATTCCTACTCCACCGCCGGGAAGTGCGATATCGAATTGGTTCTGACCCAAGTCGCCACCAGTATTGGTGACTTGCAGTACCATTTGTTTTCCTTGAATTTGGTCCTAAAAGATGAGATAATATTGAAACCTATGTCACTTTTTGAAATTGATTTCTTTCGAATATATGCATAAAATGTTAAATGAAGATAAAGTAGCTCAGGCTAAGATTAATGGCGAAAGAACATTTCCATGCTGAAAGTCAGGAACTGCAAAGAAGATTAGATTTTTCTTCGACTTTGTTTATGCTTTCTAATATCAACAATCAATAATGTGGGTTTTTTTTTTGGTTTTCAACTAAAAAGTCCTGATTAATAAATTATTTTTGTGTCTCTATATGTGTTTTTACACATATTTAAAGCATTCTTAAGCTTTACTAAAATAGCAAGTGGAGGTTGTTGCTTAATGGTTTGAATAAAATAATCCGCATATCCGCGCGTTGCTGCTGAATGTTGAAATAAATAAGATCCACAACAAAATCAAAATATACCTGGAAAGTGAGCAGGAAACAAGCGCAGCAGAGATTGACGTCGGCTCCACCAGTGAAAGAAGCAGCTGCGAATCCGTAAGCCAAGGTACTGCTGACGGCAAAAGGTTGTTGATCGTTGCACACATATGCTGCACCTCCATCGCAGCTGGATTTAACAGACGCGTTCACAACAGATACACCATCAGCAGAGCAGGTTTCTACAGCCTTGGTATAACCAGACGGAAGATTCTCGACCCACGCGCAGGATGGTTTGCAACAGTCCCAATATCTGGTGGTGGTACCGGACCCGCTTTTGCCACCGGGTATCGGCGTTGGTGCTTGAGCCGAAGCCTGAACTGGAAAAATAATAACGCATGTCTAAATTAGTTTTAAAAAGCTGAATAGCCATAGTCTCAATAGATAAATACAAACTAAAAAATGTTTTCTCTATACGTTTCTGTAAAATACCTAATTTTCTTTGCCACGGATCCGAACCAGTTCGAACATTTCCAAGATATTACCGCAAGACTTTGGGAGCAATCCGATGTTTTCGGAAATTTTACCGCACGGCTTGAATTCTGACGGTCATGTCAGTCAATGTATTTGTGATGTTTTTCAAAAATATACCCAAAAACCAACGGTCGTAGTAAAAATACAGTATGCAACACGGTAAACTTTTTGAGTAACTCGTTTATTAAGCACTCCAGTGCCAAATAAACTCATGACTCAAATGCCGTTTACCACACGTGTTGCATAATAAATATACTAATAGGTTATCGCGTGATTCATAAGCTGACATAAATTGATAAGTTTTACACAAAACATTTATTTGTCAAATTTTGATATAATTTTTATTTTTCAATTTTTTAAAATTTTTACACGTACTTCTACACATACCGTATAGCATTGATATTAGGTAAAGTATACAACGCGTCTTAAGAAATAGAAATAGAAATACTACTAGTACGTTTAGCCAATCTAGCGAATTTTAAATATACTACTCCTTTATAATAATTACTTACTTACTTCAATTTTGAATTTTGATCGAGTCTCTGGTGTTGATGTTTTTTAATTTATTCTATATACTTGCATGAATTCTTGCGCTCAGCTCGAAAGGTTCTTTTTCTTCAAGAATAAAATTGTTTTGCAAAAATGTACCCAAAATGGTATATTATGCAACAAGTGTGTTAAACGGCATTTGAGACTAGTGTTTAATAAACGAGTGACTTAACAAGTTTACCACACGTGTTATATACTATACTTTCTCTACAACAGTTAGTTTATGGGTAAATTTTTGGAAAACAACACGAATATGTTCATTGATATGACTAAAACATCCGATTGCTCCCGAACCCGTGCGGTAATATCTCGGAAATGTCCGAAGGGGCTCGGATCCGTGGGACAAGAAACTCACGTGTAAATAACGCTTCCCGAACGCTTGATCGGTGTATAATTAGGTATTTTACAGAAGAAAGTAGAAAAACTAATTGAATCGCAGTAGAAATAGTACAGTATGGACCACATTTGGTAATCTTTTTAAGTAACTCATTTATTAAGTACCCTCTCCACTGCGCTCCGCTCGTGACAAATAAACTCGTGACTCAAATGCCGTTGACCACACTTATTGCTTAAAATACTATTAATTAACACAATTACTTCAAATATATTGTATTTGTTGTTTTTCTCTATAATAAGAAGTGTGTGTTTAATAAAAAGTAGTGTATAATAAATCGGTTTAAATAAAAATATGTTTTCTTAATGTATTTTAATGTTCCTATTCATATATTCCAGGTTTAAAAATATAACTGAATGTGTTTACGTGTAACGGTTATGTGATAACATTTTTATTTTATTTCGAAGATAAGATAATTTACCGATCTAATTTTGTTTCTTTTTATTGAACTGTAGATTTGCTTCCTGCTGTACCCTAGCTGTAACAGTTAGGAATATATAATAACCTGAAGGCAAAATATCATGATCTAAGTCGATTTTTCAGAATCCAGCAACTATCAAAAATTCAATATGATTTATAAATAGGCTTTTCGTGGAAATTATTATTCTGGAATGTATTTAATCCCCATTTTTGATACATTGTATCTCCAAAATCTGAATTGAAATAAGACAATTTGGGGTAGAATTTTTTCCGCACCTTCTAGAGACTAAAATTTAGTACAATAATTTTTTTTTTCTAAATTCAGCATTTTGTCCCAAGGAAGGTGATTAGAAAATAAAATTGACGGTAACACTTCATTAAACCTTTCTAATCTTACACCAAAATGTAAAAAAATTAACAATATACTAATTTATTTTTTTATTTGTACCCTGTCTTTCCTAACGTATCAAAGTGATATTAACAATTCAAAGTTTAAAGGTCATCTAATTAATGGATTGAAACGAGTTCCTTGTATTCAGAAATCCTGATTAACGTTATAACTTAATTAAAACGAAATACAATGTGACGTTTACGTGATATGACGCACTAATTATGTTGTCATCATTCGCATAACATCACAATATTCAATCGGTCAAAATAGTAACATACTGTACGTAATTTATTCTAAGAAAAAAATGAGTTTAAGTTTTAGTTTGAATGTTTCGCGATATCATCCGATGGAGATGGTACCCTGGTACTGAATAAAAATATCAGAATTTTATTAAGAATTTTATGGTTTACATATTTTCACTAAATTACCTTTAGAAGGATGCCTGGTGAAAGACAATGCAAATTTAAAATGTAGACAACTTACCCAAAAGGATCGCAATTGGGATCAACACGAGCATGGTGATTCTTTGATTGCTTGTAACTTGAATGATTACCTGTCTGGTATGAATAAGGTGCACATAGCTATATATATATATATATATATATATATATATATATATATATATATATATATATATATATATATATATATATATATATATTATTTGTTATCTTAAATTGACATGATGGCATATTCCTTAGTTTTGAAGAGCAATAACAACTCTTGGTAAGCACTGAATTGTCCTTGAGATAATATCAGTTCACCGTCTCCCAAAACAATTCGTAGGAAAAAACTAACCGGGAATTTCCGCCATTTTGAGAAGAAGAAACCGTTTTTATGTATGACGCATTAGCGACTACATTTCCAAGACTAGATAAAGAAATAATTCTTTCACGTTAAGTTCATATCACTAAATCAGGAAGTAAATATAAACCGAAAATTTCGCACACTCTGTGTGGGAACCGGCCAATCCGTCTATGATATCTATAGGCCCAATAACATTGTCGACACTTTAAAATTAGAAAACACTTCAATAAAATATAGATGCATACGTCAAACTGTGCTTTAAGGGTTCCTTAAATTAAATTACATACACTTTGTAAACAGTAAACATCTTTGAAAACTTCTGTAGTGTGTAAGTACCGAATCTTTCTATTTTCTCTTCAATTTTCGCTTTAAAAAGGCCAACAGTAAAAATAAAAATTAAGATTTAAAATTCTAAAAATGATCGCTGGCTTCTGCTTCATAAAAATCATAAGTTATAAGTTGATTTTCAGAGCTTCTTTGGAAATTTTAAAGCCATGTATGGTTGTCTGATTTGTATAAAGAAAAAAGACCTCCTTTGTTACCCATCAGTTTCAGTTAAAAATCGCTTAAAATCATAACTTCTGTAAAAATACTTTAGTTACATAATTTTTGTAACCTACACCAATTTGATCGAGACTCCTACCAGACTCCACTGTTCTTTTTTGGTATATAAGGCTTCTAGGATTGCAGTTTTAGATTTAGGTTTTTAATTTAGCAATATCAGAAAATCAAGGAAGTCTGTAGGTAACTTTTTTTTAACTGGTTAACAAAAATATTAAAACAGGATTGTTTTTTAAGTTGTTTTAAAGCAGCGAAAAGGATTTTGGGTTTCGAACTTTTTATACACTTTAGAATCATCCAAGTAAATGATGTAATAAAAGACATAGTGGAAGAAATAAAAAAACTTCTTTGCAACTTTACCGGCTTCCCTGAATGAGCAACGAAACAAGCACACTTCAAAAGATAATATTTTATAAACTTAATTTTATCCCAATCTAATCATTTTTATCACTTTTTAGGACCCCACTACACCAAATTCAACCAAAAAGTTAAACTAGTTTTGGTTAGTTTGGCACTTTATATTGTGAAAAAAATTATGTTCTCTCAATTCTTTTCTTAGTAAGTATCCAAACCTCAACCTGTTATCCCCTCTTTTACAAATTGTCACACATACGTGAGTGATGCAGTTAATAGTAGTAAATAAATAACATACTCCTTTATCCTCCAATTTTTCAATTAAGTTGCTAGATACCTACTACTAAATTTCCCTGGCAGCTATTTAGTTAAACAAAAAGATAAAAAATCACACCAGAATTCAGAAAAGCCAAACAAATGTAAACACACTGCACAATGTTCAGTTGCGATTCAAAACTATTTCGAACTCATCGCGAGAACGATAAAGAATTTGCGAACCCACATCGCATCACACTTTGACATGTGTGATGCGAAACTTGAAATATACATGGTACCTCATAATATGCTAATTAGCATTTCACTACTTATAATGTTTACATAGTTTCTTAAACTTCTTAAGCATCTAATTTTTCGAAAGGTACATAATGATACACTGATCATCCGTTATCAAGTCTGTTGTCTACAGAACCGTAAAACCATTTGAATCCGAGTCACTGAACTCAGAATTAAAACATCTAATATCTATATTCTATCTATTCCATAATAGATATTTTAAAAATTCCATCGCAAAATACGCCTCACCGCAACATTCCAAAGACAATGAGCCCCACACGTACCAAGATTGTATGTAATACCTTACATCCAAAACATCATTGACCAAATACCAAAAGTTGTCCACTTGTCCAAAAATTTCTCAAGAACTTTGATCCATCAAAGACCAAATTCCGTTTGAGATACTAGAAGTTTACAGTATTTCATGCATATGCGGCAAAGAATGCATTACAGACAGCGGACGAAAAATATGAAAAAGGCTTAAAGAACATCAAACAGTCTTAATACTACGGCAAATAAACTCATCAGGAGTTGCCGAACACAATCATGAAACCAGACATCAAATCTTATTCGATATAACTAAAATTCTTACATGTAATCGATTCTTCTACCACTGAAAAATCCGAGAATCTATAGAAGCAACCAAACAATCTCAGGTGTTTACATTTCACCAATATGAGAATTTCATGTCGCTTCTTTGGAACCGCCCCCTTAAACACTATATAAGCAGTCAGAGTAGAATGCAATTCAGTTTCAGTTATGCTCTGAAGAAGTCATAATGATGGACGAAACATCAGCATGTTCGATTCATCTATAACCCACGCAGGAGGAATTTTAAATGTTAAAATGTTTGGTTCTGAAGCTAGATTTTTAAAAATCAACGAATATTTCAACGGTATCATTAACCTCTTAGCTAAATTTGATGAATCTCGATAGGTGCAGTAAGCTAAATGGACATAAATCTCCAAAATAAAGAAACAAATTAAAGAACAAAAATTTTGGCTAATTGATTAATCTACAAAAGAAAGTACATAATGTGTGAAAAAGACAGGGGCATATTTTTTCAAATATTTTAATGATGCTTTACCTTTTACATATACATATACATATATATACATATATATATATATATATATATATATATATATATATATATATATATATATATATATATATATATATATATATATATATATATATATATATATATATATATATATATATATATATATATATATATATATATATATATATATATATATATATATTCTGTTCTTAAAATTATTGAACTTTAACGTTTCTTTCTCAGTTTCTGTAAACTGTGTTCTGTTGTTCGTTATATAATGAAAATATGAATAAAAAAACAAATAAAAAAATATACGCTTGTATTTAAAATAAAATTATGGGCTACAGTTTGAACGGCTCAAAATTTCAGAAGGACATTCGACTTGCTGGAACTGCACTTGGGGATTATCTGCGTTTTGGAAAAAGTCAAATCTGAACTCGCAACCAGCTTGCAGCTGCTCCGGTAATTGAGAGCATTCGGATTTTGAGCTCACTCCGCCATATTGATTTCCCCAACCGTTCCATGGAGTATTCCACTGACTCTGGCAGCCTTGGGTGAAAATTCCTACTCCACCACCGGGAAGTGCGATGTCGAACTGGTTCTGACCCAAGTCGCCACCAGTGTTGGTAACTTGCAATACCATTTGTTTTCCTTGAATTTGGTCCTGAAAAATAATATGATATTCATTTCTAAGCGCATTTTTTAAATAGGTTTCTTTGGAATCTGTTTTTCCAGTAAAATTTCGAAGTTCGAAGATTTGCTCCAGTAAAATGCTAAAATAAAGTGCGGCTAAAGTTGCTAAGGTAAAATGAATAGCGATAGAGCACCTCCCTGCTTAAAGGCAGCAACTGCAAAAAGACTAGATTTTTTTTCAACTTTGATTGTGTTTTGTGAAATCAACAAAACAAAAAATCTTTATTAACTCGTGTTGGGTCTTTATATGTATTTTTTTAGACAATTTTAAAGCATTCTTAAGTTTCATCAGAATCCCAAGTGAAGGTAGGTTTGAAAAAAGCATTTCACAAAATTAAAATATACCTGGAAAGTGAGCAGGAAACAAGCGCAGCATAGATTGACGTCGGCTCCACCAGTGAACGAAGCAGCTGCGAATCCATAAGCTAAAGTACTGCTGACGGCAAATGGTTGTTGATCGTTGCACATATAAGCCCCACCTCCACCACAGCTGGATTGAACAGACGCATTCACAACAGTAACGCCATCAGCAGAGCACGTATCTACAGCCTTGGTATAACCAGATGGAAGATTCTCGACCCACGCGCAGGACGGTTTGCAACAGTCCCAATATCTGGTGGTGGTACCAGAACCGCTTTTACCACCGGGTATCGGGGTTGGCGCTTGAGCCGAAGCCTGAACTGTAAAAATAATAACGCGAATCTTAATTAGTTTAAAATAGCTAATACATGAATACAAACTAAAAAATGGTTGGTGTATCCGGTAACTCACAAGATGAAGTAAATTGTAGCATTCTACACAAAACTCCAATGGTCAGATTTCCCTATACCTTTGTAATTTTGATTTTTTTTGTAATATAACTTCTACCGTATAGCATTAATTTTTGGTAATATGTAATACAGTGGTAAGTATGCAACACGTCTTATGAAAAGTTTATAAATACTACAGGGAGGTGCTCTATCGCTATTCATTACCTTAGCGACTTTAGCCTTAGTTTATTTTAGCATTTTACTGGAGCAAATCTTCGAACTTCGAAAGTTTATATATATATATATATATATATATATATATATATATATATATATATATATATATATATATATATATATATATATATATATATATATATATATATATATATATATATATATATATATATATATATATATATATATATATATATATATATATAGTTTTATATATATATATATATATATATATATATATATATATATATATATATATATATATATATATATATATTTTGGTATTCTAGTTTTAAAAATGGAACTGACAATATGTAAATGTCAATGCTTATGTTTTAACGTTTTTGTTTTATTTCATACAAATAATATTTTACCAACTTAATTTGGCTTGATATTTTTTATCTGTAGCGTAAATTTGCTTTCTTCTATACCCGCATTTACAGGTACGGAAAGGTACTACCCTAAATTCCTGACGACAGAATGTGACGACTATACAAAATTAACCAAAACTAACGCGATTTCCGGAGACTGTCAAAAGTTCAATATGAATCTATTTTTTTATAAATAATTTTTGTAACAACTTTTAAGTTTTTTGGATCAGGTACAACTTTTTCCCCCGGGGAAAATGTATAATAGACTGTATTCTTGCTAAAATTACTTAATTGTGTCTACCTGAATATTTTCTAAATCCAGAATTAAGACGGAAGACGCTAAAAATCGAGTTTTAGTCTTAATTTACTTCTTTAAACGCCTCTTTAAATTTGGAAATGTTTCTATTCCGCGACATCATCCTTTGAGGATGATATCCTGGAAGTGAATAAAATAAAAACAAAAAACTAGAACGCAAATTTAAAATCAAACCAACTTACCTAAAAAGATAGAAAGAGGGATTAGCACCAGCATGGTTTTTCTTCGATTGCTTCTAACTTGAATGATTAAGTGTCTGGTGGGGATAAGGTACAGATTCCTATATATATATATATTATTTCCTTATCTTAAAGTGATGCATTGATGACATATTCCTTAGTTTTCAAGAGCAATTGTCAAGCTTCCCAATACTAGATAAAGACATAATTATTTCTTGTTAAATTGATGTAACTAAAATAGGAAGTAACTGTAAACCGAAATTTTAGTAAACTGTGAACGTCAAACTATGCTTTAAGGATTGCTTAAACTAGTTTACAAACAGTTTGTAAGCTGCAAGCGTTGTTCAAGAAATTGCACTTTTGTGCAAAATTCTAAAAATGATCGCTGGTCCGTGTTTAATACAAATTATAAGTTATAAACCTAATAAAATACAGTTTCTTTGGATAATATGAACCCATGTGTGGACCCCTATATGTATGAGCAAATGGACCGACCTCCTTTTGTTCCCATAAACATAAGCCGTATCTTCGATTACTAACCAAACCTTCAGTTGTACCCATTTTTCATTTTAAAATTTTAATTTTTCTTATCACAATTGGAAAAATTCGTTTTGTGAAGGGATAAATGCTTGAAGGTCTTATAATATTCTGTACTCATATCCTACAAAAAATTTAACTAATTTAATTGAGACTTTTACCAGACTGCACTGCTTTTTTGCAGCAAAGCTTTTCTGATCTACATTTTTAGTATTATAAAATCAATCAAATATCGTCGGAATAATGTAATAAAAGACGTTGTGGAAGAAATAGAGAGTTACCTGCTTCCTTTCTGTTATACCCCCAACCAGGAAACAAGCACACTTCAAAAAGATAAAATTTTATAAAGAATTTGCGGCAAAGTAATTGTTCTGCATAAGTAGCAACCTAATCAATTTTACTCCTTTGGGAGCAACAATTCATTCATGATCAGATTGGACCGATACAAAACATAAATTAAACTGGGTAGTATATATTTGATTCTATATCGTGGAAAAAATAAATATTCACTAGGCCCTTTTCGGCCCTTTTCTTAATAAGAAGCCAAACCTCAACCTATCAAAGCCCTTACCTTGCTCCCTAAGATCACAAAATCTAAATTTAAAACTAACATACATAATATCAAAAAAGTAAAAGCCAAATTGTCAATAATTTTTTAGTAATATATTATTCCTTGGAATATTTTCTTTAATATTATAGCATAAAATAGTTTATTTTTTTATACTAACTAGCTATACCCACATTTTAAAACAGAATGATTTTATTTGTTTTATTTCTATGGGCAATATAATAGTTGGACTGCCATCAAATTGTCGTTTGATATTTGTTAAGGTCTAGTGGTGAAATCTATTTAGAAAACACTTGAAAACGTGCGCGAGGAGTCCGAATTAGGTAATAAACAAACTACGCGTTTAGAAAAAATAATTTAGTCCTATCAAGTCAGACAACAATCGTAAAAACAAAAGGGTACTTATTTTACGAGATAAATATTACTACCATTTAATTTTAATTCAAATCTGGTAGACGCTGACGCAATTGGGTCTTCGATAAGTTTTTAATTAAAGTTATGATAAGGTATTTTGCACGTAAAAATAAGTATTATTTAGGAGATTTCGTTTTTAGTAGGGACCAAGTGCATTTTGTACTTTGAAACCTAATTTAAGTTTTTATTTTGACGGACGCTTTATTTATACGTCATAAGAAACCGGAGAATAGAATCGCAAAAATTCAGAATCACAAAATAATCGATCCACCCAACACAAAATATTTAAATTTTGATGGAAGATATTGTTTGTTTTTCGAATTTGTTTTTTTTTATATATTGTGGGTGAACTTATCTAACAACTTCACTCATATTTGAAACTTGAGGAATGTTAAAGAAGCAATTTTTGACCTAAAATTTAAAATACGTTTTGTGGTAATGGAGGTCTTTTCAATTTGTCCTTTTTTGCCACTTTTTAGTTATTTTCGTAGCCGATGCGATTTATTTTTAAGGACATATTTAAAAACTTGTTAAACCATCTCGTATTAATTTTTAAGTGAAAACTAATAAAAACAAACTGAATCATGTCCATTATTTGGAACTTGAATTTTGATATAAACTGAAATGACAACGAAGTAACAATTTGGCAAATTTTACAAATAGAAAAACAAGGGGTTGTAATTAGGATTCTTATCTTTCTCTTCCTCATTTACATACGCAAAAATATACTTTATCAGATCATACAAAAAATACAATCAAACTAGCAATTTTCGCTATTACATGGATATATATATATATATATATATATATATATATATATATATATATATATATATATATATATATATATATATATATATGATGACACTATATTCCGGGATATCATCCGTTCGCTCGTTGAACTCCGACTGGAATCCTGCATCCGCCAAAATCTCACTTGGCATCTTCAATGCTCGCGCTCCGAAAACACTTCGAGCACTGTGTTCGAGCATTGAAGATGCCAAGTGAGATTTTGGCGAAACGTCTGCAGGATTCCAGTCGGATATACATATATATATATATATATATATATATATATATATATATATATATATATATATATATATATATATATATATATATATATATATATATATATATATATATATATATATATATATATATATATATATATATATATATATATATATATATATATATATATATATATATATATATATATATATATATATATATATATATATATATATATATATATATATATATATATATATATATATATATATATATATATATATATATGATGACACTATATTCCGGGATATCATCCGTTCGCTCGTTGAACTCCGACTGGAATCCTGCATCCGACTGGAATCCTGCAAATCTTGCATCCGACTGGAATCCTGCAGACGTTTCGCCAAAATCTCACTTGGCATCTTCAATGCTCGCGCTCCGAAAACACTTCGAACACACTTCGAAGTGTTTTCGGAGCGCGAGCATTGAAGATGCCAAGTGAGATTTTGGCGAAACGTCTGCAGGATTCCAGTCGGATGCAAGATTTGCAGGATTCCAGTCGGATGCAGGATTCCAGTCGGAGTTCAACGAGCGAACGGATGATATCCCGGAATATAGTGTCATCACATTTTTCCATCCGTGAATCAATACGTGAGAATATATATATATATATATATATATATATATATATATATATATATATATATATATATATATATATATATATATATATATATATATATATATATATATATATATATATATATATATATATATATATATATATATATATATATGATGACACTATATTCCGGGATATCATCCGTTCGCTCGTTGAACTCCGACTGGAATCCTGCATCCGACTGGAATCCTGCAGACGTTTCGCCAAAATCTCACTTAGCATCTTCAATGCTCGCGCTCCGAAAACACTTCGAACAGTGTCTACAGGATTCCAGTCGGATGCAGGATTCCAGTCGGAGTTCAACAAGCATGCAGAATTCCAGTCGGATGCAGGATTCCAGTCGGAGTTCAACAAGCGAACGGATGATATCCCGGAATATAGTGTCATCACATTTTTCCATCCGTGAATCAAAACCGAAAACACTTCGAACAGTGTCTACAGGATTCCAGTCGGATGCAGGATTCCAGTCGGAGTTCAACAATGAATATATATATATATATATATATATATATATATATATATATATATATATATATATATATATATATATATATATATATATATATATATATATATATATATATATATATATATATATATATATATATATATATATATATATATATATATATATATATATATATATATATATATATATATATATATATATATATATATATATATATTTCATTTACCATATTATTAACTAACCAAGGAACACAAGCATTTTGAAACATGTTTAGGTATTAATTAATATCATCGGCTCACCGAGTGCCCTGCCTTGACATGGGCAAGATTGGGAGTCTTCGGAACGGCCCTGATCGATCCGGACTCAGTGCACGATATTGGGCTAAAGGAGTTGCTGACCTTCTATAGGAGGGGCGGCATTCTGGACGCCCTCTAGAGCGGCCTGGGGGCACAACGGACCCATCTGGTGGCCTAAGTGCTTGGACGCCCGCGAGGGCGCCCCCCTTTAATACCAATACCAATACATACACACACCATCAATCCCATAACAATCATGGTTCTTCGTACACTAGAAATGAATGGAAATGGCAGTATTACAATTTACAAATCGTACCTGCTACAAAAATAAATTGATATGAACTAAAATCAAAAATTTTAAAGAGATGTCACCTAAAGACGGTAACACAAATAAAAAAATTGAGAACCTCTATCACTCCATAAATTGATTCAAAGTATTATGAACAATTACGCATTTATTGTTAATTTTCTTAAAATTTCAAAAACATTTACATTTGTCAATAAATTGGCTGACAATTAAATTATAAATCGAATTTAAAATTAAAAATAGATATTTACAATGAATATTTTATTACAGTATTGTGTCAATAAATTATTTTAGAGGTGAATGCATTTTTTATTGCAAATGAAAATTTTTGAAAAAATTGATTACAAGAAACTCTCAATATTATTATTCTTCCCAAAATTCAAAACCCAAACTTGAAGAAAAATACCGTATGTTAAAAACATGATCACTTGCATGCTGTTTAGGTATAATTCATACAATACTTTGTTTATAAGATGCTGAAATTCTCTTCTTTGGTGGAGGCGCCAGGATATATAAAAAGTGGAAATTGCATTAAAAATATTAAAGGTTTGTTTTCCACTTAAAAAACAGTATGGTTTGTTCAAATGTTTATTATTAATTCTAACAAATTATTATTATCAGTAAATGGGTTTCAAACGTTCTACTCTATTTCAATAGTAGCCCCAACTTTTTCCAAGACTTCCTTAAGTTTGTCGGCCTCTTCCTTTGGAATATCTGCTTTTACCACGGTTGGTGCTCCCTCTACAAACTTCTTAGCTTGTACAAGATTCATACCTTCCAATAGGTTTTTAACTTCCTTAATTAAAGCAACTTTTTGCTTTTCATCAAATTTCATTAATTTAACCGTAAAGATAGTTTTAACTTTCTGAGGTTCAACTTCTTCTTCTTCTACCGGAGCAGCAGCAGCTACGAATCCTCCAGCAGGAAATGCTGGAGCATCAGGAAGATTTAACCGTTTTTTCAAGAGGCTACTAAGCTCTGATACTTCAATCAAATTCAAATGAGCTATCTCGGTAGCTAATTTATCGATTTTAGGAGACACAGGTGAGTCTGTCCCGCTTGGAGGCGGAATTGTTAGTTTTTCTATAGGAGCTTCGGGCTCGGGTGACTGAAAAGCAGTCACGCTAAAATAAGAATACTTATATGGTTAGGGTACATAAACTGACTGCTATACCTCTTATGAAACTTTCTCCAATGTCTTATGGAGCCTCTGATCATAACTGAAAATCCGTGCATTGTGTTTTTGTACAATTTAAGACAATATTCTAACAATAAAATAAAAATGATTTGCGGCAACGAGGTTAGAATTTAACCACGCATTAGGTAGGATTGTATTTTGGTCAGTTGAAGTTAACGTAGTTGGCAATGAATAGCAATTTACCACAGATCACGCTCTATACACTCACAGACCTAAAACCCGAAAAGTAATTGGAAATTCATTATTCTGTGGAGCTCAGGCTTCGCCTACTTGATCCTGAATTACATCTAAGTACATCTTTACCATTATCTAATGTTATAATATTTAATATAATTGATTTGAAAATTATTCTTGTTTTTGGTATTTTAAATTTATGTGGCTTTATTTTTTTTATATAGTTATATACCGATTTAATATGTCTTACATATTCTGGCCATATTATTACTGTTATTGACATTATTTATATTAATTTTATTAATATAAATAATATTATTTGTTCGCGGGGAAACCTCAATAAACGCCTTCTTATGCGGTTGTCAATAATCAATAATATAAGATAACGCGTTGTTAGGTGAAGGAGGTGCTAACTGTATGGTCATTGATTGGGCCCTACTAAAAGTTTATTGCTTCTATATTGCACACAAAAGAATCATTTCTAAACTTATGTTGGTAAACCTTTTTGCGTTATCTTCCTATAACAAAGCACAACAATCATTATTTTAAAACAAATAGGAACCTCTCATTAATAATTGATTTGAAGTATCTAGCGGGTGATTTTAACAGCTATCACGATGGTATTATCAAAATCTGATATTTAACTAATATAATTGAAACTTTGAAATTTTTAAAACCAAAAGAATGAGGAAACGTTCTGCTACAGGTCGGTATTTGGTGTTTTTAAAAATATTTAACTTTTATCCCCTTAATTATCAACCCTTATCTAGAGCCTCGCAATAGCGTTGAAAATGTACCAATTAGAAAGCAATCAGTGGTGGTCAGGGGTAAGTACCTACCTGTTGAATTTTGATTTTAAATATTATGTCTATAAGTCAAAGGCTTCAAAATTTTTAGACAGACCTCCTCACCACACCCTAGAACTACCAGTGAGAAAGGAATCTGTAATCATCAAAGGTATGTGTGCTGAATGATAAGGATACCTATATTTTTTATGAACAATGAGTCTTAACAAGCAATCAAAAGTCCAAAAATTTCTTATTAACCCACAAATATTTATTTTTAAGTTAAAATTATTATTAAACATACAGTGTGGTCCATTTTGTTATGGGCTGCCCTGCGATATATTGTAAAGAGAAAAATCTACTTAAAATTTAAAAATTTTTAAAAATAAAAAATTTTAAAAATAAAGAAATAATCAAAAGATAATATTGAAAATTTAAATGAATTTTATTTTTTTGTAAATCATGACATGACATGACAAAGTCGCCCTCTTTTTAATTGATAAATACGATAAAAATATAAAATATAAGAATTCATTTTTAACAATTTTTTTCATTTAAATATTGAATGTTACTTTTCGATTACCCTGTATGTAATTTTTCTAAAATATCAACATAGACCACTAAAGTAGATTTGTGTCTATTAATAAGGGCCCTCAGTGGGAGAAAAATCCAAACATTTAGATCTGCACTTTTGATATAAAATTATTTTTTTTTATTATGGGGTTCACTCTAAAGACATTTTTCCAGTACTTAAAAAAAAGGCATATCAGTTACGTAATTTTTTTTTATTGCAGATGAAGACAAACCGTCGCATATCTCGGGAATTGATTTCGTGGGAATAATAAAAAGCCGATTACCAATCATCACCTGGTTACCGCGATATAATTTTGCGTTATTTCTTCAAGATCTGTTGGCGGGTTTCACTGTTGGACTCACAGAAATACCACAGGGCATTGCGTATGCATCCGTTGCAGGTATATCCAAATACCTAAGTACAAAATAATGTGTAGATATCTGAGTACACATTACTGTAGGTTGGTAGGTTAGTTTAGAGTGCAGGAATTCCCCTTTCCCTTGGATCCATCAAACTTAGATACTACCACAACGAACTGACTATAAACGAAATTTAAACTCAGTCTTAGAAATATTAATTCATTTCTTCATTGCAATTACCTTACCTTACCTTACCTTACACCGTTAGTCTATAATTACCTTAATCGCTACCTATACATAGCAAGCGCTTATTCAATAACTTTAAAACCATTAAAAATACAGGGTCGGTTAAATGGGATAAAAGTTGAACATTGGAGTCGATAATGCTGAAGAAATCAGAAGCACCAAATTCCTCGATTTTACTATTTCCTTTTATGACCATTATTCACGCAAACTGTTAACGCACTTAATATTTATAGGAACATCTTGTACCTCCCTTCCCTTTTAGCCCCGCTTTGCACTTCTTACAACATAGCGCACTCACGTTGCAGGCCTTCCGGCACAATATGGCATGTACAGTGGAATCATGGGAGGTTGTATGTATTTTGTTTTCGGCAGCTGCAAAGACATTAACATGGGCCCAACTGCGATAATGGCGCTGGTAATACAAGACTGCGTAAGCTCCATGGGTCCAGATGGATCCGCCTTGCTATGTTTTATAACAGGACTGTTTATATTCCTGGGAGGAGTATTGCATTTAGGTAAGGTATGGGCGTGACGTTTCGAATTTCTGCAGCCGCAGGACTTACTCCAGGTTTCCTGGTGGAATTTTTTTCCTTCCCGATCATATCCGGCTTTACGACAGCGGCAGCTATAAGCATTGCTTCCACCCAAATAAAACCTCTACTGGGTATATCAGGCAAGTCCAGTGAATTTCTGGAGTCATGGGAGTCTACCATCGAACATTTTAGCGAGGTGAGACAGTGGGATATGATTTTGGGATTGACGACCATCGTCTGCCTTTTCTTGTTACGGGTAAGAGTCATTCGTTAATTGAAATCCATATTCATGACGCTTTTCATTAGCAATTGAGGGTTTACGGATCGCTACAGCATCGGTCGGACTGGTCGAGACAAAGAAATATAATCGGGAAGTTTGTATTTTATCTGTGCATGGGCGGAAACGCTTTGGCTGTAGTCACGGGTACATCGGTAGCCTACGTCGCTGATAAGTACTATAACGCAACTCCATTCTTGCTTACTGGTAATATTTTCCATCATAAAAAATATAGTAATCAATATAAGTAATAAGCGAGGATGCATTATTTTAAGTAATATGGACAATATGTCAAGACTTGCGTCTTGTGCTTGAATGTTTTTTTTCACCTCTTACCGTTCAAAAGCATGTTGCCTATAATAGGATCAGTCAAGGCAGGATTGCCTCCGATAAGCCTGCCACCTTTCGAGACAACCTGGAATGGGATTCACTATGGCATAACGGATATGTTATCCCAATACGGAATAACCCTTGCGTTTGCGCCTATGATTGCTTTCTTGGAACACATCGCTATCGTGAAGTCATTTTGTAAGTTTTAGAACCTCATTTTAGTACTTGCCAAAAACCTCCTTAATATTTTCATTGAATCATTTTACTACGATGCGTAAAAATCTGGACCTATCAGAGGAGACGTCAGATGCTTGATATTTGTTTTGTTTTTAGATGCTAATTAAACCGTTGTTTAAAATTGTTGTGTGCTGTGTAGTGTGTGAAATAACTTACTATTACTATCATGTTAACTAATAAAGACATGGGAACAAAAGCATTCATAAATGTCTGTTTATGTTGGTCGCCAGTTTCGACTCATTTTGTGAATAAATTGTCGGGTATCCTTCAGATGTAATGTTTATGGACCGCACCGACAAAAAAATTAACAATATCAACATGGCCTCTGGCAGCACTGACTAGCCATTAATTTTTCGTGAAAAAATGCAAATGGGACCACTTTTCAGATTACTATGCAAAATTTATATGTTTAACAATAACAGCAATAATAATTGTTTGCAAAAAAAGTAAGAAAAATATACATATAGAAATGCTAGACAAATCATACTAAGAAAAAAAGGAATAAACTAAACAATTGAGAAGTTATACGAGGGTTACTTGAAAAGTTTCGGACCCAACAATGATACAATTGATAGAAGACATGTTTTCTCTTTTTTTATTTTGCTACATAATCTGCATGTAACTCTATATACTTCTCCCAGCGATGCATTCGTCTCTCCAACCCATCCAAAGAGTACTCAGTGTGCCTCCGCAAAATAATTGTTCACGAAGGTGATTGCCTCCTCATTTGACGAACATCATTGTCCTCCGAGCGCAGTTTTCAATTTTAATTTCCATTTTTCATTTTTTTTTCCAATTTCACGAAAACACTCACACACACATCGACTCACTCAAACGACTCCCAACTAAAAACCAAAATGGCTGAAACTTTGGTAAGTAATTATCAAGAGGTGCAGTGCTAGCTTTTAGTAACTACTGCCGCCATCTGGAGGGTGAGGTCGACAACTTTTCAAGTGACCCTCGTATAAATTCACTCATAACACAAAAATTTATTAACGATAAAATATCAACTTATTTACAGTTTATATAACTCAAAACAATAGCATGAAACTTAAGGAGGTGGTTCCTATATAAAAACACGTGAGCGGAGGGGAATGAAGTAGACTTGCTCTATCGATCTTGGTTAAATCTAAACAAAAACTTACGTAATGGCCTGGAAGAAAATAAATTTAGATAGACGAGTTTATTATATTTTTCAAGTTATTGCGTAAGTTTTTTTTTTGAATTTGGTTAAAAATTATGGGAGTAATCTAATTCAATCCCTTCCACTTATTTTGAAAAAATACGAAATATGCAGAAAGTGTGTTTTTATATTACTAAGAGTTCGTTTATATTTTGTTCTATTCTTTTTTAGTTTGTAATATAGTTGACTTTTGACGCAACGTTTACAGCAAACTACAATAATTGAAATGACTTAAAATCAAGGAGTCTGGAAGTCTAATTTTTAGAGGTACAGATAGTAGTGGTGATGAGAAAAGAATATCTTTAAATGTAAATAGATGCACTTATTTATGTAGGATTTAAACCTTAATGTTTTGTCCGTTTCTGTAGCTGAATTTCTAAATGATTTAGTACATGAAACGTAAATATTCTGAATTTTTTCCTTAAACGAATTTTCAATTGAAATGAAAAATTGAATTTCAGCGAAGGGCAAAGTGATCGACGCGACCCAAGAGCTTTTGGCGCTCGGTATCGGTAACATGGCGGGCTCTTTAGTGCATTCAATGCCGATCACCGGCTCTTTCACAAGGACTGCCGTGAATAACGCTTCCGGTGTGAGGACTGTTACTGCCGGACTGGTGACTTGCATGATGCTCTTGGTCTCAGTAGCGCTGCTCACGGGCGTCTTTAAATACATTCCCAAAGCTACCTTGGCGGCAGTTATCACGGTATCCATGTTCTATCTGTGCGAGTTTCACGCGGCCAAAGTATTGTGGAAAACCAAAAGTAAGTTCTGTGTTTTAGGATAAAATTTTTACTTCATGAAAAAGATACTGAGCAACTGAAAAATATTCTTCTGTCCAGATACCGATTTTGTCAAATTTTTGAATGACTAAATAAAGTTGTAAATAAAATTATTCAAATTGAACACTTCTATGGCAGAGATGGTGGTTTTGGATGCAATATTTTTTTTTACTTTAACATAAACAAAACAAAAACAAAAAAATGTTAGATGAAAGATATAAAACTCATACTTTGTGACAGTGTAAATAGTGGTACAGTTTACCATCAGCTATAATTAATAAAGAGAACCTTCAACGGTTTCAAAACTAATTCAAAACGTAACTGCTATGCGCTGCGTTAGTTTAATCATGTATCAGAAAAATTCTGGTTGGCTAAATTTAACTCAAAGACAAAATATGGCTATGAGCAGCTTTTTAACTAAACTGAAAAAAAAAAGCTCTGTTCTATTGAATTATTTAGTTAAATCTTGTATCTTTTATAGCCATTCATCCGCCGCACAACAGCTCTGTTTAAGAGGTATTTTATATAGTTAAAATGCCGTGTTCAAAATCAGAAGGTTTTTAGGCTGCGGGTAAAACCTATAGTGCATGTGCATTTTTATAGTTATTTATATTTTTTGCATGAATATAATATTTCAATGTTTATTAATTTTTATCCTCTTCCGTTTTTAGCTGTTTTAATCTAAAATAAAATATTTTTTACCTTCTTTATGCATGACATTTTGTTTTTTTTTTTCGCATTGAAAACGAATACTGCAGATTGTAAATTCAATCATATTATTTTTAAAATGCCAGATTCTAAACCTCATTTGCCAGTTGGCTTCGAACTTTTCTATATATTGCATTCAACTTACATAATATTAGATAGATATTAGCAAAGTTAAAATAACTGGTAAATATCTTATTTATTCAAGATAAAAATATAAAATCTAGAATTGAATAAAAGTATATTTATGGCTATTCTCTTAGTATCTGCTAATATATGGTGTTTGTAAATACTTCTCTCCATATTGGAGGCAAATATCTCGAAAAACTGAAACTAACAAAAATTCTTCTTAACTTCTAAATGCATTTAAATAGAAGAATAACTTTTAAAATTTTGTGTCAAAAATGTCAACGAAATTTGCTACACTCAAATTTAAACGGGTTCATAAGCTTTTATTTACAGGATGACTCAATTACGCACTCATAGTGTATTCCATTTTTTTTATTTATGATCTCCCTGTATATTATTAATTCACTTGAATCAACCAACAGGCTCTCAAACATTCATGAATTTCATATAAGTACCGGAACTTATAAAATTTCGAGGATACAAAAGTTTATACATATAATACGATCAAGTGCTTCGATATTTACGATGATTTTGTGCATTTGTCCACTTGCTCCTTTTTACTACGCAAAATTTTAAACAAATTGCTTGACCTGGTTTTATGCAGGAGCAAAAAATAACACTTCCCTATAGGATATGAAGCCTTTAATTTGTAAGAAATAATTAAACGACTGTAAAAAATAAATGTGTAACCTCGTAGTAATATTTCTAAGTAATGTTTTTTTTGTTTTTTTTTTTAGAATTAGATTTGATACCCTACTTAGTTACAATCACATGCTGCTTGCTCATAAGTCTCGAGTACGGAATTTTAATAGGCATCGGAACAAATATGCTTTTTATTCTGTACGACAGCGCAAGACCTAGGCTCTATATAGAGAAGTCCATAATCGTAGATAACAAGGTTTATATTGTCCAACCCAAGGTGGCCCTGCACTTCACGTCCTCAGAATATCTGCGGCAAGAAATCCTGAAAGACTGTATCGGCGATGATGCCACTGTGGTAGTTGACGGGAAATACGTTACTAGCGTAGACGCAACGATAGCAAAGGTAAGAATCGCGGCATTTTAACCACACGACGAAGTAATACCGACTATTTTTCAGAGTTTTGGGGATTTACTCGAAGATTTAGTGATCAGGAACCAAAAATTAATATTTTGGAATTTTAGTGAAAGTGTTATCAACATCTGCACGGGAGATAACCAAAAATTATTGGACCATTTCAAGAATGATGATCTCGAAAACATTTTAAAAGGTATGGTTTGTTCATTGATATATAATAGAAAGTAAATAATAGAAAGTGACCAATTGCTTTTGAATGGGATTATCCAAGGGTGGTCATTAACATGCAATGCAACAAGATTATTAGCTAAAGTTTCGGAATTTAAATTGAGGTAAAATTGTGGTCCGTAATAGAAAATAATTTTATACCTACCAGTGTTTAATATTCTTTGGTTTGGTATACTACTTAGTTTATTAGTAATCATCCTTATTTCGTGTGTAATACAGCGTGTGTTGAATCGTGTGCGAATTATGCAAAATATGTGCGAGTCTAGTGTATCTCAGGAGATGCTCCCGCCCAAATGTAGAAAACACTATTCTATTGAGACTAACGAAGTTATAAACGATGTTTATTTGAGTCTGAATGTGGTGCCAACATCTTTAGAAGAAATGGCCACATTGACGAAAATTCCAACATCAACTGTATGGAAAATTGTGAATAATCCCATTTCAGCGAGGAAAAAAAGAAGCGATGCTGACATTTTCTCGAGTGTAGATGAAAGTGATCAAGATATAATGCGGCGTAAAATTTACCAGTTATACGAGGAACAAAGCGTGCCTGCATTAGATATCTTAATTAGGAGGCTTGAAAAAGATGAAACCGGTGTTAAATGTGGCAGAACTACCTTATGGAAGTTTTAATGGAATCTTTTAGAAATCGGAAAAAATTAGGATTTACAGAGAACAACAAAGGCCAATTATTTACTTGGATGAAACCTGGTACGACACTTATGATACCCCGGAAAAGGGTTGGGTTGACTCAACTGATAAGTGTAAAACAAACGCTCCATCAAAAATAGGTAAAAGAATAACTATTTTGCATGCTGGCTCTCAAGATGGTTGGATTCCAAATGGACTTTCTCTGTCTGCGAAAAATATTAAAAATTCTTCTCTGGATTACCATGAAGACACCACCGCTGATTTATTTGAAAGTTGGTTTAAAAACAAACTAGTTCCAAACATTCCTCCTAATAGCGTCATTGTAATGTACAATGCAAGTTATCAGAGTAGACAGTTGAATAAAACCCTTTCGTCATGTGACACAAAAGCAACAATCCAAAACTACATGTATAATAACGACATTAATTTTCATGAAGATTATACCAAAAAGCAATTAATTGAGGTTCTACAAAGCTTGAACCTACAAAAGGAATACGTCTGTGATAATTATGCAAAAAATCTAGGGCATACAGTTTTAAGGCTTCCTTCCACCTTACCACTATATATTTAATCCCATTGAACATGTTTGGCACCAACTGAAATCTGCCATTCGTCGTGTTAACTCCAATGTCCTCAAACTTATAGAAACCGAAGTTTTTAACATCCCCCCACAAAGTTGGGCAAATTCTGTTAAACATATAGAAAATAATATAGAACAAATAATAATTAGAACAAGCGATGATAGTGATAGTGATACTAATATATTATGTGAATAGTTTTAAGTAATTTAAGTAGGTAATAAAAATAAATATTAGTATCTTTCCTAAGAAAACCCCAAAAAATTAAATTCTAAGCAAAGTACGGACCTGTTCGGTCATATTTCATTCTTACAGCTTGTCCGCGTCTTTCCTTAATTCGTATCAGTTAATCACTTTCTTATATCTATGAACAGACTTTAACAGTTAAAATCTTGGTGGTCAATATCTGCACGTTTCTGAGTAATTTGATTCGAATAGTCAAAAAAACACAAAAAACGAAATACTGTTTTGTGGATTTGCAAAATTTAATTAAATATATCTGATTTTGGAGGCATACATATAATCAGAATTAACATTAAACTGTTATTTAAATTCCACTTAAGGAAAATCTCTAATATTTCTAAAAATAGGAAAATATTCAAAATAGACAATAAATAATAATAAGTCTTCAAGAATGTTTTTCAGAAAATGAGTTTTAGCGCCTGCCTTGCCTTTCCCAGTTGTACCACATAAAACCAAATTTTGGAAAACATATTTTTTTTAATTTAGTTTTTTTTTTCTATTTGCAGCACCGTCCCAACGAATTTCAACTGCGAGCACCGAGCGATGAGAGAAATATGTAATTATAATTATTAGAATAATTTATAACATTAAGTGTATGTATATTCTAAAGCGCCACTTAATTCTGATCCTAGTTAGCACCTTGATAAGTATTAATTGACAATGTTCAAACAAAATAAACCAATCCAAAAAATCCAAGGGAAACGTTTTATTGACAAAATGGTAGAGGTCGCGCCGATTTCACCAATTTAAATAATTTATATTCTGAACGCTCCTATTCTGTTTATAACTAATAAATAACCCGCTTAAAATTAAAACCTTTGAATTGAGCAAATGCGCTTTATACAAGCATCGGCTATCCTAATCAGAATGGCAAATGTGTTCACACATCTACGTTAATTTTCAATATAAATATAATATACTTGTTTTAAATGGAATTGAATTAATACCAGTCGCTTCTTTGTTTTTGCTGTACAGGATGATTTCCATTTTATTTCATCTCATTTTGAAATATCAAAACAGATGGTCAATGTAGGGTTAAATGTAGATGTTCAACTAAGCCATTTAAAGATTACATTTTTCTTTCAAAAACGACAACGTGTTATAACATTTTATTAAATTTAGACGTATGAGACATGCAAATAACGATATAAGTTCGATATGAATTTAAAGAAGCATGATAAATTAATAACTTGACCAGATATGTCCATACTGGCAGTTAATTAAAAATATTTTATTTTTATGACACACGAAAACAAAAATTCTCATTTTAGGTGTACTAAGACTTTAATGACTCTCCTAACTCCATTAAATCTCTTAATTGACTACTTAATGAACCTTCTAATTTTCTAGGCATAAAACTACAATAATACGCAACTACAAGAACATAAATATTATTTTTGAATTTTCATATTTCTTTAAGTACTTATAAAACTTAGAAACCAAAATGTTTTAATTAATATGAAAAAATACACCCTTAGATTTTTACAGGCAATTATTTACTAAAATAATCTATAAAAAATAGAATATATAGAAACTGCCACATTAAAGTCCAGGTCGGCCAAAAAATAGCCAATGGAGTTACACCCAACAAGGGAGTCAAACAAGGGTGTTCTGTATCCCCCACCCTTTTCAAGATATGTCTTGAACAAGCGTTAAGGATATGGAAGCAAAAATGCAGAAATATGGGCATTCCCCTTAACAATGCAAACATATACACCCTAAGCTTCGCAGATGACCAAGTCATAATGGCGCAAGACTACGATGATGTAAAATACATGATGCGAAAACTGATCGAAGAATACAAGAAATGGGGGTTGGAAATAAACTTACCAAAGACAAGGTATATGTGTATCGGTGGAGCACAACGCGACCTCCTCTTAGAGGATGGTCAGGCTATCAAAAGCTGCGAAACCTACAAATACCTGGGAATGTACATTGCCAGCACTGGGACTTTAGACTACGCCATCAAAGAACGAAATAATCAAGGAAGAAAGGCCATTACTATGCTGAACACCTTCTTGTGGGACCAAAAAATCACGAGACGAAACAAACACAATAATATACAATACGATCATTAAAAGCATAGTCACATACAGCAGTAAAGTCTGGCCACTAAAAGAAAGAACCATGAGAACGCTGGAGGCAACAGAGATGGACTTTTGGAGAAGAGCGGCAGGAAGGTCAAGAACGAAAGAGTCCCAAACGAAGCAATTCGCACAACCATGAAGGTGGGCCACACGATTTCAGACGAAATAAGAACAAAACAGTTATAATGGTACGGTCACGTCCAAAGAATGGAAGAACAGCGACTGCCTAAACAAATACTCACCTGGACACCTACAGGAAGAAGGAAGAGGGGAAGACCGAGAAAGAGCTGGACAGAGGGCATCAATAGTGAAATACAATGGAGACGACTGGACGAGGACCTGTGGAGGGACAGAGATCGATGGAGATTGGGAATCGGACGACGTCGGAGGACGTTTTAAAAACCGATCGATATATATATATATATATATATATATATATATATATATATATATATATATATATATATATATATATATATATATATATATATATATATATATATATATATATATATATATATATATATATATATATATATATATATATATATATATAAGAGCAAAAGCAATACCATCAAAAAATTTCCTAAATTTATTTCTTTAATAGTTTTGAATAGAATTGGTTAGTTTCAGTTAGTTTGAAATTTGAAATAAAAATTTGTTTTAGCATTTAATTGAAATCGCTGTCAAAAGGGTTTCGGCGGATATTTTTTTGCAGAGAATACTCGTTAAGGTGTCCCTACAACAAAAAAAACAAAAAACAAAAAAAATTGACACCCTATCACACAGCAAGATCATTTTTAAGTCAAATGTTTACATTTATTTTAATTAACTCACATTCGGTATACGATCCTATTAACCTTTTATTACATTTGTTATTTTATTAAGTAAGTCTAATAGAGAACTAGTTCCTTTGATATGGAGGTCAAAAATTTTATGAATATCTCTGAAACTAACCTTTCGAAATTTCACCTACTATTTACAATACTTCGATAGCTGGGCTTCGAAATCTGAAGTTTAAACATATTTGTCCAATTGTTTTCATTACCACTATCAAATAAAAATTTGTTTAGACGCTATCGCTTAGGAAAATATTAGAGACTATTCGAGTGGATTTTTCTTGGTTTCCAAAAGTTGTCTTCAAAAATTATTTGACGGGTGAATAAGACTTTATGGTTATTGTAGAATACTATGCTGACAATACAGACACTTTGAAGTCAACAACAAATAAAACTTTTGGGACGTGCAAAAAACATGACTTACAGTTCGTTAATTAGACAATTTTAATTAGTTTTTTCGGCAATATTTTGTTAAGATATGCCCAGATCACATTAAATTTTCAGGTCAAAAACGAGTCAAGTGTTTACTTTGATGAGAAATGACGTAAATTTAGAGGCATGCGCGGAAAATCATTTCCTTCTGCCCGAGAATGCCTCAGTCGCCTTCGGATGTATCAATTTTACGGTGTTGACCATACCAGCAATGTTTTACAATATTTGTTTATCGAAGCCACGGCGACGCGAGGATTTTTATCGCATACACGCAAGTACAAAAACACACAATGGTTATTACCTTGAATAATTTCGCCTAGTCCATTCCTGACGGTGGTTTTACCAATTATTTAAGTGCTAACAATGCGAGCTGCCATTTTTTGTTATTATTTAAATCGAGATCGGTTCTGCTGGGCGCCAATTTGCTGAAGTCTTCCTTTTAAACCACTCGTTTGTGGTACTCTGTCTTGCGATTTCAGTAATCAATTTGTTATAATTTATTCCGTAGCAATCGCTGTGAAATTATCAATTTACTTTTGCTCTTCCTTGTGCTCGGTAGTTTGTGATTTCGAACTCAAGTGGACGGAAACCGGTCATTTCGATTGGTTTAGTGAGTTAGTATGGTTTAAATTTAGGTACGTTTTTAGCGATATAACCAAAACTTCTTTTTATCTTTAATTGGGTAGCAGTTGCATTGCATTGAAAATTAATTAAATTAATACACACCTTTGTTTACTTGATTACTTAGTCAATTACTCCAGTTTAATCAAGAATTCTTAAAAGAAACTAAGGAACTTCTAAAATATATTGTTACTTGGTGCGAATAAAATCGTCCAAAAAATACAAATAAATGATTATGTAATTCAAAGGTAATTCCCAGCACTTGGCTGCCTACAGGCAAAGTTACAGACAACTTTTACAAATGGTTGAGATGATCGCTGACACATTTATGGTATAGTATCAAACAAAGCGGATTTCAACTTCAAATGAAACGTAATGTTGTTTTGACGCTACATAGAGGCATTATCTAACTATTAAAATAAGTAAAAAATTAAAAGTTAATTGAAGGTATTGATTTATTCCAGAAAATTGTATAAAGTAAAGCAGCGCAGTAGAAAGTACGCGAATAACTCGTTTTGCATGATTACTTCTTGCGCCACATTACTAGTATTTACACTTTTTGAATTTATTTATACACACTGATAGTCGCATAGTCGCATTTTAACTGAATAATAATCCTAAATCCCTAAATGAAACTAAATAACCAAAACCAACACAAAATTTCTTGGTATATGAATGTTTCTTTAAAGTCTCTGAAACATATGAAAATGTTTAATATTTATTTATTTTTTAATTCACAATAGCATATTCTTCTTTCAACTTGCAATCCAACAAAATGTTGTTTGGAAGGCCTATCACAGCCTCTATGCTACTTAGTGGTACACAAGCTAAGGGAGTGTTTGTACTCTGGAGTCTAGAGGCTATTTGTAGAACTGAAATTACTACCTTTACCATCTGTTGAGCATGTATGGTTTATGTAAAAAACAGCATTGAAAAGTAAAATCGAAATAACATTTTGAAAGAGAGAATTTGAAAAAATAACCTTAATAGAACAAAATAATTTTCACTGAGTGTGTTCCAGTAAGAGTTTTCGTATCAATACAACAAAAACTAAACTATGCATGGATATATGTATTTTCACAATACTATAAAAATCCTTTTTCTATCGAAAAAGTACGTAGTGTGTCAGTATTTCGAAATTTTTGATAATGCTTACGTTTTTTATTTAAAAATAGATCAACATTGATTAAAAAATGCTTGCATAACGTACTTAACACGTATAAACTTTATTATAAAGTTATGCATCTTTTAAACGGGAATAAAAGTAATCAAACCAGTAGTACAAAAGTCATTTTTCTATCTAAAAAATATGGAATCTTTAAGTGTTTATTTAAAAAACAAAATGATTCCTAAAAAAAAGTGTATCACAACATACATCAACATATAAACTTTGTTGTTAAATTATCGCATAAATGAAAGAATGAAATACCTAACCTTAATCGGAAATGAAAGTTTGTGTTGATATGTTCAAAAAATAGTAGAGAACAAAAAATACAACCCTATATAGTGGTGTCTAACGGTAAATAAAGGCCCTGAACCATTAAATTTAATAATAATAAGCAATAAAACATTAATAGTATGTTATGCAACACGTTTGATAAACGCCACTTTAGTTGCGAGGTTTATTGGGCGGAGATCAGCAGAGCGCGAATTTGTTAAACGAGTTCCATATTATGCGTTTTGTACTGCTACGGCATTGAAGTGACACTTTGCGCATGCTTGTTGGGTGCATAACAGAGTAAGGAGTAGAAAAAAGATTGATTATTTATTTTTTTAGCAAAAAAATGTTCTTGAGTTTTGAGTAGACGGGAAACAAATCACCATCTTTCTAGACATTAGTTCCGTTGCATGAAAGTGCCTTTTTTGTAGCCTATCGTTATCAAAATGGTTCTAGACCACTAAAATTAATTTACCTATTGTTACATGCGACCTTGTAATGTTTTCCGGTTTGCATTATTTCCCAATTTTCTCGCTTATTATTCGAGAAGCGAAAACAATTTCGAGCATTCAAAGAAACCGCTCATTTTTTGTCGCCTCTCATCTTGTTGTTAACCACGTACAATTTACCCCGTAATTTTGGGCTTACGTGTTCCGTAATTAGTTCAACGTTTATCTCGGTTTCAATACGTGCCAGATGAAATCTCAGCGTAAACACATTACAATGACAATAAAAACTTTATAACGTCGACGAAAACATTTATGTACTAGATTGAAAAATCACCAAATACCAATGCTTAACGATCGAGTCGCCTAGAAATTTGTAAACACGTGCTGCTAATTAGAAAAAGAGATACGTCGTCCACAAACACAAAGTTACTTATCACATTATAAATTTCCAGAGCATCGCTAATCATCGAGTGATAACATACCGGAGACCATTCGAACCAAATACAGATATTCGAAAATTTGATATTTACTTTCGACATGTCTATGGTTTTATATGCAGTTTGCTTCGATGTTATTTTATAACTATTTTTTATTGTGGACTAAATTAGAGAAATGCATGCAACAAGTTTAATAAACGAGTGTAAATGTTTGTTTTTCAGGCAGATTAGAAGCAAACTGCAAAAAAACTTGAAACTTTTGATTTATGGATAAATTAACTAAAGAAAGCTAATGGCATCGAGTGAAAGTCGTCTCATATACCCTATGCGCTATTTCTTAATGCGAAAGAGTAGTAGAATGTAAATTTGCAATTACAGGGATCAATAAATAATGTGCACAACTTGAAACAGTTTAAAAAAATAGTATATTATGCAACAAGTGCGGTAAACGGCATTTGACTCACGAGTATATTTGACACGAGCGGAGCGCAGCGGAGAGTGTTTAATAAACGAGCCACTTTACTGCACGGATTTGGGAGCAATCTGATGTTTTTGGAGATATTTCCCACGCTTTGAATTATGACGTTTGTAAATTTTGACGGTCATGTCAGTGAATGTATTCTGTTGTTTTGCGAAAATGTACCCAAAAACTAACGGTCGTAGAAAAAGTGCAACACGTTCTGTACACTTTTTAACTCACTCGTTGATTAAACACTCGCTCCGCTGGTGTCAAATAAACTCGTGAGTCAAATGCCGTTTACCGCATTTATTGCAT